ATAAAAAAATGCTTCCAATTCCTCAGGCAGAGTGACCGGCCATTTTGTGTTAGATATTCTACTGCTGTAACTAAAGTAATCTATTATGACGTCATGAAAACGCTGCTGTTAATAGCGTCCTTTACTGGTCGTCAAACGATCCATGCTTTGGTTTTTCTGGTTATCTGAACCGTCTAGTGTAGGCTTTGTTGAGAGCGCATATTTACGCAGTGTGCTTTCTTGAGTTATTCCCGCATATCCCCACATCTCCCGTTTCAAGAAGTAGAACTCGCTGGAATGTATACTACTGCAAAGGAGAAGCCAACTCAAAGCGTTCTCTAATCAATTCCTTAGCTTCAAATGATCCATTAGGACATTGCGCAAACAAAGGTTAAATTCTGCCATTCTTCCCCTAAGTATGCATATAGATAACATTGACAAGTGCTCCTTGCGAAAGCATAACAGGCATATGATTATAATTCTTTGTTTCTGACAAATAAAACTGTCGTCTTGCCTATTTATAGACCGTTTTATCTATCTTGCTACTTCAAAGAATGGCTCTATCTAAAATCGGCCCTTAAATGACCTACTAAATCGAAAATACATTCTAACAATTCGTTTAACAACCCTTTACCTAGTAATTTAAAATTTTGTGCAAAATCTACGCTAACAGAAACTGTCCAGTGTGGAAGACAAAACTGACCGTCTTTCACGGGTGCTCGTCACACATTTGTTTACAGTCGGTTATTCTCTTTACGGTGAAACGAAATATTGTCTGCGGGCCCTATGGTTGCACTTTCTCGTATAAATTTAAAAATTTTGCAAATCGGAATTTTCCAAGCACAGAGAGCACTTCATTTTTGTAAATATAAACTCATTTTTCACAACTGTCCTCGTCGGATTTTTGTGATCAAAAATCCAATCTTCCTATCCTGAAAAACACCCCGTGTAAAGTTTTCTATCTATCCACCTATCTGTCTTCCTCTCGCTGTCAGGCTGTCATGCAACAGCACGCGACCAAGAATACGGTACTCATCCACGATAACGCTTACTACGCAGTATCTACTGATCATCTGAATTTATTTTACTATAATAAATAGGTTTTGATGCTCGTATCCTCTCTATCGGACTTAGTTTATCTGACGCAGAACCCACTCTCATCTACTATTTATGCTTTAAAAATTCGGTTTGCCATTTTTATACCTAATCGTTGTAAGTACTTTGTTATTTCTATGCAGACACAGCGTAGGCGGTATCTCTCACCGCATACTTATAAGTGAGTATCGTTTACAAACAATGCACATGACTGGCTGACAACAACCAGTAAGCCTGAAAGGAATATCTCGGTCTTATTTGTTGCTGTCAGTACTCCTGCGTACCTATCGGTTGCTATGCGACTGCCTACAATGTTTCTAGACTGGGCTCCATGACAAAATTGCTTGAGCAAGTTTTTAAACCTGATTGGTGAACGACCCTCTAACTGTGACCCCCCGATCGCAACCGGAAGGACAACTGACCATGACTCAGCGGTATAGCATTTCATCTAATGCCCAATCAGCAAGGAATCTGGGTTCGTATCCCAAGTTATCGAGATTCGGGGTTGTGTGTGGCTTGCTGAAGATAGCATGTAAGTTAGGGATTGTCATCACTGTCTCCACTGCCTTAAGCTGCAGTCTCTTCATCTTCTATCCTTATGCGACTGCCTCCGAAGGTTGTAAGGCGCAACTATATCATACACCAGTCGGTAAACGCCTTACCATCACTGCTAATATTACCCATATAAAAGGCCAATGGACCGTGGCAGCGCTCAAGAGTGCTATATCAATAAAAAATTATACCCTTTAGCGGTAGGATGTTGGGCTATTTAATGCTAAAGGATCAACGAACACAGATTCGAATCGCCAGTTACCCAAACCTGGTTGCTAACGACGATTTATAAACCAAAAATGGTCATTTCGATTAGCATTGTCGGTGTATTTGTATGTGGTACCGGTTCAAACAACTCCAGCAGTTCCCAAAATGAACCGTTATATTTATTTAGATCCATTACTAATTTATCAGGACCATAAGGAATAGGATGGTTTAAATGGCATTATTATGCGTCGTACCACCGTTGGTTTTTTACGGTTAAATTGCGTTCTGTCTGCTATTTTTTTTCTCGTGTCTCCTCCAATACCTGCTATGCCAATCTCTCATTTTTTTGTCAACTGCAGCGGTCTTCTTGGCGGCCACGTAGCAGCGTTGGAACTGAAGGCATCTCATCCAAATCGCATGACCTGGTACGACAAACAGTTACTTGAAATGGCCGTGGATGCAGGCAACCGACTTCTGCCAGCTTTCAACACATCAACCGGGCTGCCTTACCCACGGGTCAATCTTAATATCGGCCGTGGAAATCCGCGCCGTACAGAGGTTAGCCAGATTTCCTCTATTTTTCACCAAAATGTGTACTTTTATTATCTCACCAGCCTCATAGACCCAAATATGCCGCCCTTTTCTACTGCAGAGGTGTCGACTCATTTGTTGTCGAATGTCTACTTTTACCTTTTTAACACACATTTTACGTTTTTTTGGCAAAAAAGCACGTCAAGCCCCTTCAATATCAGGGGATATACCGTTTTTGAATTCTTTCTTTTCAGTGGACTTCCGTTCTTTCCTAATGCACCTTTTGTCGGAGGTGATATACCTGATCTCAGGTTCACTGATTTCGTAGAAGTCTTTGTTGTACGTCGGTCACCATTAAACCTCATGACACCATGTCATATTTCCTTACAAAAACGTCCGCGTGGACCAACGTGCTCCGCAGCCTAAGCTTAGTTGCGCAGGCTAATAGTGTACACCTTGGGCAAATCTATAGAAGAAGACCCTTAGTATTGAATGTGTTAGCGTTTGCTGGTGCACAGTCTTCTTTGGTTCAACGTGAATGTCTAAGGTTCAAGTCATAGACTTCGTTCATCTTTCATTAAAGACCCCAGTGTTTAACGTCCACACCACGCTCTTTTATGACGACCTATGCGAATCCTCCGAGAGATCTGTTATGATATTTGTCCCCTCAGAAGAGGTGGATTGCAAATTGTTTGCGTGGAACTCAGTCAATGACGTCCGAATAACCGGAAATACTTCCTTCTAAGAGATCGCCAATTTCTGTACAAACGCGAACATTAGCTGCCGATCGGCACGATAAGAATTGTTTTATGCTTGCGACTGCAAGACCTATTTGAAAAGCTTCCTCGTTTTTCATTTGCTGATTGTTGCCGGTGGCTGGGTAAG